CTAGTCCGGTTCACAGTGACCCTATATAGGGTTTCTGAGGAGCGAATGTTGAGCTTGAACCATCGACCTTGTGGTTGAAACCTACCTTGTGCTCCAGTGCTTGTCTTACAGGACTCCTACCACTAATATAAAGTTTGTTATATTATGTATTATTTGAGTCCTGGTGTGGTGCTGTAGGATAAGCACTGTACCGCAAGGTCAGCTCCATGGAAACTCTATAAAGGATCGCTATGAGTCAGAACTAACTCAACAGCACTTAATAACTGCAACATATTATATTGCATTGTGGATTGCTGGAGTGCCACTGTAGAATAAGTACTGGACTGGTAACCACAAGTTTGGCAGTTCAAACTCACCAGTTGCTCCTTGGAAGCCCTATATACAAGGTCACTAAGAGTAGGAATTGACTCAACGGCACTTAACAACAACTATATTATATTGTGTCTATTAGTTTCTTTGCATGTTTTATGAGATTGCATAAAGATTGAAGAAGGAACTATGCTTTAATCATCTGGGTAGATGTCACCCAGGATTCTCCGATTACTCCTCTACTGCTCCCAGGACAAACCTTGATGCCACAGAAACTCCTCACAGAATCACTCCTGGTTTGAGCCATTCTTATCACCTGTGGCCAAAGTGTGCCCACAACTCTAGTCTTGGCTTGACTGCTTCCATAGGTACTTCAGATGACTTTGCTCTGGAAAGTGCAAATTCCAGGTCATGTAGTCTTAATCTTTTTCTCTGAGATCCCTGTGGTTGACCTTTTTACCCAATCCCTCTGAGCTCTTTGGTCTGCCAGAATCCAGGATAACTTCAGTTCTACCTCCTTATTCAGATCTCCCCTTCTCTTGCTTAACTCATCCAATCTTGTCAGGGGATGAGGATTTTGTTGTTAGAATAGGGAACCAAGAGTCCAAGGCAAGGAGACCTTGAGTCTGATTCATCGTGTACCCTTTTTTTCAGTGCTTTAGCATTCCAAATAGGACTGCCAATGCCAGGGTTGAGTATTGATTCTGCTAGTACTCTTTCTTGCCCTCAGTTTCTTCATCAGTAAACCCAAAAGTGTTGAACCATCTCATGGCAACATTTTCTTCTGGATCCAGCTGTATTTGATTCTGCTGATAGGACATGGAGCCATTTTGAGGTTCAGTGAACAAGAATTTGTTAGATACTTGAAATAGCTAAGAGGAATATGATAATACTCATACAATTGGGATATTAAACAGAATTCTAATTGTACTTGTATTTCCAACTATCTTAAGGTGCCAGACTGCAAAGCCATTCAAATCGCAAAGTCAGCTGTTCAAGTTCAGAAACCCTATAAAGGGTTTCTATGGGTCAGAACCAGCTTGACAGCACTTAACAACATATTATGTCTAAGGAGCCTTGATGGTATCATGGGTGAAGTGTTGGGCTGCTAACCCAAAGGTCTGTGGTTCGAACCCGCCAGCTACTCCCCGAGAGAAAGATGAAGCAGTCTACTTCCGTAAAGATTTACAGCTTCACACACTCTATGGAGAACTTCTTCTCTGCCCTTTAGGGCCACAGTGAGTTAGCATCGACTCAACAGCAGTGCGTATATTATGTCTTCATGCATAAAATTGGAAAAGTGGGAAGCATATACACCGCCCCCACCCCCAATTCCTAGTCTCCAAATGAATGACGTACTTCAAGAACAATCTTTTTTGAACACATCATAAAATCAACTATGGGAAATGATAATATTACAACTATCTTTAAGTGCTTCATACACACACAACTACACCTTGGGAGGCAATATTAGGTATCGCTCAGGTTAAAAAACTCTTGATTTCAAATTAATGAGGATTTGCAGATAAATGAAAACATCTCCATCTGCTGTCTTGCATGGTAGGTGGTATTTTACCATTGCACAATCATCTCCAAATCTAATTCCAGGAAGATTTCTAATCGCAGTTTAATTTCAGAGCAATATTCCACTTGGCAATCAATAAAGCACTGTCGTCAAACTTTGATTTAATTGGAGACGTGGATAACATTCTTCACATTATGTAGAGAGAGAAATACTTTCAGGAGAGTCAGAGAAGAACATCTTTGTCTCTCACTTTCCCTGCTGCATACCATTCAAGCACACAAATGCCTATAAATCAATACCCCCATGTTGTGTGAATATAAATCTCATCAATTTTGCATCATTAGCACCATGAAAAAGCTACTACTCTTTGAGCAATTTTCCTCTGCTAGCTAAATATGTCTTCTTAATAAAACAAGAATAAATGGATCTTGATTATTTTACTAGCAAACACTTCCTTCTCCTTCAACTTTGTTTAGGTCAAAATCCATTAGAATTATCCAATTGTCTTATTTGCTACTGGAAGGGCTAAAGTGGCAGGGCAATGATTTTACTCTCCAAGCATCATGTCCAGTGGGTATTGGGCAACCTAGGCAGGTCAAAAAGCCAAAGGGATAACCCAAGAGTACTCAACGTTCCTAGGAAATTGATCAGATTGTGGAAGGGGGAAGAAGCAGATAGAAATTATTTATAAGGTCAGAAGCCTGGAATGACGGTAACAGGCTGGAATGTGGATGTTTCAGAAGGTGGTTACAAGGGATCCAGAATGAAGGCCATGAACATCATGAGAGCCCATGGTCCTGGGAGCCTGGCTGTGTGGTGCAAAGTATTAATGACTTAAAAGGATCTTGGGAGCCAAACTAAGAGCTTAGAAAATATCTAGTCCCTGGTTGCTCAGTGGTTAAGAACTCTGTTACTAACCAAAAAGACAGCGGACCCACCAGCAGTTCCATGGTAGAAAGATGTGGCAGTCTACTATAAAGCATTGTTGTTTTGTTGATTACTGTCGAGTCCGTTCCAATTCATAGTGCGCCCTGTATAGGGTTTCCAAGGAGCAGCTGATGAACTTGAACCACCGACCTTGCAGTTCAAACGGCTTTGCAGTTTGTTGCCTTAACCCACAGTGCCACACCTTGGAAACCCTATGGGGCAGTCACTATGAGTTGCAACTGGCTCAATGGCAACTTGGTAATGAACTTGGTAATGGGGACATCCACCAAATATATATATATATATAATCATTCACTCTCTTGTTTGGGTTATTTGAACTCATCACTAATTGTCAATGCAAGAGTTTGCTCAAATATGAGCTAAGGAATGTAACACTAATAACCTGATATAATTACAAATAAACTTGTTAGATAAACTTCATGCCCAATGAAATGTCCACACTTACTAGAAAATTATACAATTTCTATGTAGTATTTCAAAATGTTGAAAACTTTATTACTTTTAATACCCCCATAGATTTAAGAGTCCTGGTGTGGCCCTGTGTGTTAATGTGTTGAACTGTGAAGTTGTTTTGAGCCAGAAGGTTGGCTATTCAAGCTCACCAGCTGCTCCTGGGATACCTTATACAGGGTCACTATGGGTCGGGATTAACTCAATGGCACTTAAGAACAACATAGATTTAGGGTTTTGGGTCCGATAATTGATCTGATCTCTGCAGAGTCATTTGATATGTGAAGAAACTGAGGTCCAGGAAGATATCAGAGATTGACTTGTGTTGTAAGTTTCCCGACACTCAGTGTAACGACTTTAAACCTATCATCTGGAGCCCAGATGCACTTTTCAACCTTTTCAGAATACTGCACTGTTTAATGAGGACTCTAGGTCACTGTAGGTTTAATAAAGGGAAATAACCAGAAGAGGCCCATCACCTAACAGATGGTAAGCTCAGATTATAAAAGCAGGAAAGAGAATTTATTTGATATCCACAATAATGAGTCAGTACAGGGCATGGTGCTAGGACAATAGAGATAAGAAGAACAGAATCTGGTGGGGAAGACAGACAAGGAGTCAGACAATAACATATATATCAGAGAAAGATGAACCATGAAAGCAGGAAGCCCATGGAGCTAGGTGTGACTAATCCCTCAGGTACTTCAGTATTGATAAAGTTCTGTGGAAACACAAAAGAAGAAAGAATTATTTCTAGAGAAAGAGGAAAGGCAAGTCTTGTTTAGGGAAGGTTTCCGAGTTGATGCTACTTTAAATAGCTTTTGAAAGAGCCATAGGATTTGGGCACATGGATAAAAAAAATAATGTGCAATGCAGAAGGAGGAATCAAACTATTCAAAGTCAGAGATTTGTGTGGCCAGACTTGAGTCGGAGTCCTGTTGTAGCACTGTATGATAAGCACTGGACTACTAACAGCAAAATCAGTGGTTCAAACCCACCAGTTGCTCCTGGGAAACCCTATACAGGGTCGCAATGGGTTGGAGAAACTCTAAGACACTTAACAACAACAACAATCTCTTGCCCAAATGGTGACTTGGGACGAAATAGGGAAAGTGTTCTTTCCTCAAGACTCTCTAGCACAATCTTCCAGAAAGTTTTATAATAACTATGCAAATCTATGATACCATGAATGTAAATGGAGTCCCGATGTAGCCGCAATGGGATGAGCGCTGGACTGAAAGGTTGGTTTGAATTGCAAGATTCAAACCCACCATCTGCTCTGTGGAAACCCACCCCTTGGAAACAGGGTCGGTATGAGTGGGAACAAGGACTCTAGGGAACTTGACACCAACAGCAACAATGAATGTAAATAGCCCCCTGGAGTTGTGAAGGCACCATAGCCAGTGGAGGTCCTGAGTATGTAATATGTGGAAATCCAAGCCAGAATTTAGACTAGACTGTGCCATGAAGAAAGATCTAGCAAAGCCTACATTACTGAATCTGGTTCTGGCAAGCGCAATGAAGCCCTTGCTGCAGATGTCACTCCGGGTATGAGCAGTCCTGTTTATCTCTCTGGTCACAGCATTAAGACCAGGAAGGGGAGACTCCATTTCTCAAGGGCAGGCACAGCTCCTTCCTCCCATCTGGACCAAACAGCTTTTCCAAAACCCTTCGGGCTTGTTCACACGTAGCAGAAACACATCTCTTATTGATCAACAGCTCAAAGGGAAAGTCCCATAAAATATGCTTTTCCTTTTGTCTCTGATAGGCTCTTCAGCATCATCATGCTGTTCACGAAATTTCCTACATTGCAAAGGACATCACAGACCACCGGGCTTTTGGATATGTTTGTGGGAAAGAAGGGAATCACAGATTTGTGGCTATCAAAACAGCTCAGGCGGTACGTATTTTTTTACCCAAAGGGGGTGTATTTTCACTTTCGGGAGCAACACGGTGACTCTGTTGGTCTTTGAAAGCCCACTCTGATGGTATGAAATAGAGATGCATCAATGCTAGAAAACGAATAGCCTTGGAGCAAGAAAGCATGTTCATACCCATCCAGTTTGTTTTTGTCTAATGGGTATTTCCTAATGACTAATTATTTTCCTTTCTGATTAAGCTGGATGTGGGAGCACAGTATACAAATAAATTTCCTTGTGTTCATAGCCTCATTTAAAAAAGAAAATAAGAGAAAACAAATAGCTGTTTTGCATACAGCCTACCCTAATTTCGTTGTATTTGAAATTACTAATAAATAAAAGTAATGCCTTTTATGCTTATGATTATTCTGAATTTGCAAATATAATTAGTTGAAGAAATGAACTTTAGCCTAGATACAATTTGCTAAACCAATATAAACAAGGTAGAATTAATTAAGGATAGAATGTTTTCAGTTTAATAGAAAAGCGGAGGGTGGCGGGTTGTAGATGGCAAAAGCAAAAAAATCGGTCGCTGCATTGCCTTATTAATGTGCTGACCACCTTTTACTTCAGGCTGAACCTGTGATTCTGGACTTGCGAGATCTCTTTCAACTCATTTATGAATTGAAGCAAAGAGAAGAATTGGAAAAAAAGGCACAAAAGGATAAGCAATGTGAACAAGCGGTGTACCAGGTATACCTGTGAACTTATCCTAGTGCCAGAGAAGATTGGGGCTTAAAATAAACAGATGTGAATACTGCCAGTCAGGGCTTGTCCTCCTGCCTCCAAGACGAAATACACAAAGATGAAAGGTTCCGTGTAAATTGCAGGTACCCAAAGCAAGCCATTAGAAACCACCTCTTATTCTCTGAGATTCTAGACATTTTAGAGAAAGTGAAGTCTTTAATCCAATAGAGGAAAATTTCAGGGGAGGGGGGCTAAAGAAACACAATTGCTTTTGTTGTTGTTAGCAACTGGGGCGGTGGGAATCGGAGGGGTGAAGTATCTGTGTTAAGGGACTGGGGACTGCAAGGGTTTTTGCCTTTTTCTATGTGTTTTCTACCTTAATGACCCACCAGCCTATCCTCCCCAGAGCTGGTTTTTCTGCTTTCCTGTAATTTCTGAATACAGTCTCACATCTCTTCCTTTGTGTCCTCTGCCCTTCACCCTCCCATCTCTCACTCTGTCATAGACAATTTTGGAAGAGGATGTTGAAGACCCTGTATACCAGGTAATTTTGGGAAAAGTCGGGTTTTAAGTTCAGGATGGGCTAGGCCGGAGGCACAGCCCTTTGTCTCAGACCTCGAAAAGCCACTGGAAAGGGATCAAGATCATTTCTGAGTGTGAGGTCTGCCAGCCCCTCCAGGATGGAATTTCCATAAAAACGAACAGAAGTTTGGCTGGCACCAATAACGTGGGATTTGGAGACATGCCTCTCCCTTCTTGCCCCTGCCTCTAGCCCCCTCCACAATCTGTAAAACTTTGCTCCCAGAGCTGAATGTTTTCAAAAGCCTCTTGAATATTCTGAGTTCATTAGAGAATGAATAATGAGGAAGCTTCTCCGAGTTAAGAGCTGGAGACAGGAAGTGACATTTGGGCGGCCTTTTAACACAAGTCCACGAAATGGTTTGTAAGTTGTAGAAAGGCTAGGAAGAGATGTCCCTGGACCCGATTAACCAGGCTGACCCTCTTATCACAGGAGCTGTTGTGAGGGAGGAAAGGGTGAGCTTGAACCTAGAGGCCGCTCTGTCCAACAAGAGTGTACTCTGTTCTGGCATTAAGAACTGAAGCCAGTATCAGGCTGAATTGTGTGCTCTGGTCAAGCAGAAATGGAGAAAGAAGGAAAGGGGAGACCTCTCCTTCCTTTGTGCTTATACCTAGGGAAAAGGAGTTGCCAAAAATTGACTTAGTGGACTTCACAAAAGAACTTCTGCAACATACAATTCTGACATACACATGTTACGTGTATTATGTATGCATGAAGCAAATGCCTACTTTCCTCAGAAAGCTGAGACTGTAATGATGAGAGTAAAATAATATGGATAAGTCGAAGGTGAAGATGTTTCTAGTGTATATGGCGAAGAAATTCAAAGATGTTCTTAATGAAAGGTCCTTGCTTGAGGATCCTGAGGAATGAGAATTCACTGGTAATTTGAGCTCAGTCCTTAACTTATTACTAGCACACAAAGAATAAGGAATGTTGCCCTATATGAATTATTCTGGCTCTTTAGAATGTCTGAAACATACAAATAAAAAATGTGATGTTCCATATTTAAAATAGAGAGTCCAAAGTAAGGTGCTATTTATGGATGTGAGTAAGTTGAGGACTTCTGAGCACTTGAGGGTCAGCTGTAACCCACATTTTACGGGGCATCCCAAACCATCCCCACAGATCTCATTCCGACAGGGATACCTGCACTTTCAGACCTTGCTGAGATGGAATGTTATAGAAAGAAGAGGTATTATCTCCAGAGCCACCTGCAGGGGCCACGTAATCATTGATAAAGGGCTGACAGGCAGCACTTTGGGGCTTTTCCATAAAAAAAAAAAAAAAAAAACTATACACACAAGTGCAAGCCACATTCTGTTATTACAACCAACTAGTGGTTTCTTGAAGGTGTTTTTCTCTTGTGCCTGCTTCTTTAATGCTCATTGTGATTTGTATCTTGAATTCCAAATGCTGTTTTCCTCTTTCTTTTTCACCTCTGACCTGTCCTCTCGGGGCTGCTCCTGTAATAGTACATTGTGTTTGAGGCTGGACATGAGCCAATCCGTGATCCCGAAACAGAAGAAAACATTTATCAGGTATAGAATTGCTTACTCTCTTATCAGTATACCACTAGCAGCATATGCACTGAAGGGGCTTAAGAATTAAGGAGTCTCTCTTTAAGTGGTCCACAGAGCTGGCTTAGTCATTCCAGGCTTGCTAAAATACTTCTGCATGAATTGGCTTCCAGGTCCTCTACAATTTAACAGTTTTGTTTTTATATCATTTTGGCTGGGGGTTTTTATTGTTGTTTGTTTTAATTTACTTGAATTTTTCATACCTTATTGTTGAAATGTTTAGTGGCCACATGGGAGGAGTGTTTTAATTTTTAATGGATCGTAACTATTTTAAGTAGACATAAAAATCGAGCATTCTATTAAACTGAAATATATTGCAGGGGCATTGTCCATATACAATTGGGTCTCTCATTTCTCAAAATAATGTGCTCATCAAATTCCTTTAAACAGTCAGCACCACTGCTGAGAAACAAAGTGGCAAAATCAAAAATGCTATTTGGAGTCAACTTTGGGAATACTACCTGACTAGTAGAAGGAAGAACTGCTAAGGTTTCATCCCTTTTGAAGAGAAGATAAATGAATATTCTTCATTGTCTACTATGTGCAGTATACTGAACACATTTTCAGCTCATTTAATTCTCACAAAAAAATGTTGTAAAGTTGAAATTTTTAACCCCATTTTTACATGGAAACTGAGGCTCAGAGAAGTTGCTTAGGTCCCTTGGGCTTGTATAACAATAGGAAGCCAGAATGCAAACCAGGAGAGCTTTTGAAGGCAGAGTCCCAGCTCTTCTTACCCTGAGCATAGAAGCACATCAAACAAATCAGACAGCTTCTAATTTTTCACTAATTGGAATCTTATTCTAGCTTGAAATGTAAACATCATAGGAGAAAGAAAAACGTAATATGTGCTTTTAACTTTCTTAATTTGCTTCGTTGTTTAGACTATTATTATTCTTAGTACACGTAGTATAAGCCACCACTTACCATTGAGTCGATGCTAACTCAGGACGACCCTGTTGTAGCAAAGCAGCAGTGGGCTTCCTAGGGTTTTCAGTGGCTGTGTTAGAAGCAGATTGCCAGGCATTTCTTCCAAGGCACCTCTAGGTGGACTGGGCTTTACAACCGTCTGATTAGCAGCCAAGAGTACTAACAGTGTGCGCTACCTAGGGACTCCACTTGTCATGTAGTATCGTATAATTAAAATAGAATATATTTATAGTTTCTGACAAATACATAAAACTTTAACTGACCAAAATATAATTTCAGTTCTACCAGCAACTCAATAAATAATTATCTAAGTATTTTTATCCACTCAGTCCATCTAATCAAGTTTAAGGTTGTACTTTGAGGTTTTGCTTAAAGGCATCGCTTACAAAGTTTCCATTCTGAAATGCTGTATTTTGTCTTCATTGTCAGATTTTAAAGTCTAACCTCACAGTATCTGAATATGAGGCCCAAGGAAGTATTAACTAGTCATGAAAAGAGATAACTTGTTAAAATAAAATTGATCTTTTCAATTTAAGAGGCCTCTGAATCCAGACTGAAGCTGGCGTTGGCAGGGTTCCCACTATGGCCCAAGGGGGACGAGTGCAGAGGGGACAGCCAATATACTAGAAAGAACTGCTTAAGGAGGGTGGAGAGCTACGTATGGTTGTGGGATAGTACGCAAGACATTTCCCTTTCTGAAGCAGAGTTTTCCCAGTTATAAAATAGGATAATAATATGTCTTTAATCAAAAGATTAAATTTCATTGTGAGACTGAAACAAAGTCATATGTCAGTGCACCTTCTAAACTAAGCCTGGTGTACAAATTAGAATGCCAAGAAGAAGTGTCATCTTCAACTGTAAAGGTAGAAGTTTTGTAACAAAAATGTGGGGAGCAGTTAATCTTATAGTCCAGGAACAGAAGACCCTAGGACCATCAAGGGAGAAGAGCACAAATGAGATGTGGGACCCTATCCAGAGAAGCAGCAACACCAGAGATGGAGGCAGAGTTGAGGACATGGAGAGGGATTGCAGCTAAAGACTCATGTGCGTTGGAGGCCAGGAGGCAGGCTTGCAGAGTGTGCCCTTTGGTTGTTTAAATGATTATGTATTCCTGAGTGTTTTTGTGTACATCAATAACAAAAACAAATAAATAGGGAATAGAAGCAAATACTGTTGAATGGTGATGCACAGAGGAGATTAAAACCATTGAAGTGAAACGATGAGTGTAAAACAGATATTCTCCCATGTAAACTATCACTCA